AGGCCTTCGAATTTATTTTGTGATCAACCATAATCAATACAAAATAAATACAAGTAGCAATGATGCAAATATTGAAAATATAACCCTCTAACTATTAATTATATAACTACCCAAAGTGTCGGTCTAAGGATCCCGAAGAATCCGCCGAACAAATCAAAGTAATTATTAATTAATAAAAGAGTTTATATTTTTCTCATGCTTAAGAGTCAAATGCCATGACAGTGATAGAGAGCAATTACATACGACGGCTTTCGCAATATATCTCAACCTAATGCGGATCCAGTTCAAGTCTTAATTAATTATGAGTCCATCCATAATTACTGACTATGAACAATTTATGATTACTATTTATATATCATGCATTGATTGCCATCACATACATATATATAAATATCTCTTGTAATCAAATGGACACTATAAATTCTATAATGAATCGAAATATAATATATTGAATTCACCAATTGTATAAAATATAAATATTTCAGAAACGTCAGGAACATATGTCACTTAATCCAAACAGGAATTTGCTATGCCGGAGCATATAAATCCCAACAGAATATACTGTGTTCAATATGGTCTTACTTTCATATCCAAGTAATTAGATCATGAAATTCTTCATTTATTACTGAAGATCCGATCCAAAAGGACCTAGAAACCTAATTTACCAAGTTTAGATCTTAACTTAAAATCAGGTATAAAAATATGGCTGTTATCCACCATCAAAGTACCCATTGGAATTTGTTTTCTGAGTAAAAATAAAATAAAAAATTATCCAATTGAATCTTGAAGATCCATTCAACCATAAATTAATAAAGGTGCTTAGATTTTGAAATAAGACTGTCCATGTTTTAGGGAATATGAGTTTATATCGTAATTTGAATGAAAAGTTGGATATTTCCTCACTTTCTAGTAGTTATAAACTTTTTGAATTGTGGTTTCTAATTAATATAATTTATGCTCTTGCTTAAGGGGGGAAAAATCAAAGATAAACACAGGAACAGTTCGAAAAAGAATGACAGTAACAACATATAGCCCAGATAAACACATGAACAGTTAGGCTAATAGGAAGAGGAAGAGTAGTACTATAAATTGATTACATATACACTGGACTTATATGAACAATAGTACTAATTTTTTTTTTTTAAATTGGACCTGGGCTATAGCCCAGGTTAGCCCATTAATAGTTTCTCCCTTCCTAGGGATGACCAGCTGATATTTTTCTCCAACTTAAGGATATAAATATATTATCATTCAACTAACTAAGGGGATAAGGTAAACCCTAATATCGCAACCAACTTCACCAACTCAACAGATCTCATTACTGATGATAAGGGACCATTGACATCAGTTGAACCAAATTGATTCCAATCGATAGCCATAAATAGGACATCGAGCCATTAAAGAAGGTATGAGAAAAAAACCCCTAAACATTGAATACGTAATTATTCTGTGACACGATTACAAGTACTAACTTTATCGTCGGAGGGTCTTCGGCTGGCACCCCACCGTTGCCATTCGAGGTGACGTCCCTTTGTTTTGCAGGTAAACGTCGTCATTCAGGGTTGCGAGGATTTTCGCATCAACAGTTAGCGCCGTCTGTGGGAACGATTAGTTCCCTGAAGAAATAATAATTCTGACACGACTTGGCTCGAATGGCAAGATGAAGGTTGCCGAACATGGAAACCATCCCAAAGTCATCCGTTAACAACGGGTTTCCTCGTTCTTATATAAGGATGGGACTCTACATCATGATTCCCCATCCATCATGTTGGGGGGCAAAATAGTGGGGTGCGTGATGTCAACCAGTGTACGATGACAATAGTCAAAATTTGGCACGTCAACCCAGGCAGTCCAATGTGGTATCTTCCATCAAGCGGTGCTCGGTCCCCTCACTACTGAGGTCTGGTTACCCAAGACCAAACCTTGTCTCCTATCTGGCAGAAGCCAACTACCAAGGCCTGATGGTTGAAGACTAAGGCCCGGTCCTTCCTCTCCTACATAAACGAATGGGTCTCCACCCACCAAAGAGATCACTACCAACAAAGGGGTCTCTACCTACTAGTAAAGTCTCTACCACTGAGGATGTCTCTAGCAACGGAGTCCTATTACTCCTCCTGTTTGTGCAATCGGGGTGGCCTTCTACACCCAAGAACGTATCAAGACCTTCACCTCCAAAGAGGTCTAATGTCCTTCAAGATCCCATGTCCAATGAGGTCTGTATTCCTAAGTAGGTTCCAAAGTCAAAGGCAATCATTGGACCCAATGAGGTACTCAACTAATGGTCACCAGACCATCATCTATCAGACGTTGGGCACCACGCCCCTATCTACCAAGCGTTGGACACCAAGCCTCCACCTACCAGACGTTGGTCGTCACCTCTCTTCCCTTGCAGGAAATGCCCATCGACTTCAAATTATGCAGAATTTTGGATCGATAATCCATTGCAGGTTAATTTTCAGTAATCATTTATAACACAATCTAACATCTTAGACAACTGCAAATTGTTACAGCACTAGGCATCCCGTTCGCTGTATAAACGTTTATAGAATGGGTCATCACCCAAGATCCCACCATTATACTGGGGGCAGAATAGTGAATCACACGATATCAATCGTCGATCTACATATGATGACAAGGTTTAGAAAACTGACATACCAACCTCGGTACATCGAGCTAGTCGTGTTTCTAATCTCTCTCCCCCAGCGACCCCTCAGGGGCACTAGTCGTCTAAGACCAATGCCCGATCCTCCAAAACCATAGCCTAGTAAGTCTCTACACACTGGGAAGAACTCTAAATCTAGTGAAGTTTCTACAATCAATGAGTTCACCGTGTCCAAGATGGTCCCATGAGGTTTTTAACCATCGAGCACCAATTATGGTCTCTTCTACCAGGAACCAAGCTTGGTCACGTGCACTTCAAATCTGATGGGTCACTACCACCATAGCCACAAAGCAGGGCAAGCATAAAGGATAAGCCCACAAAAGTGAAAAATTTTAACTCTCTTATTAAAGGGCAAGTTCACTGAATTAATTAAAAATATATATATGCATATTCCCTTATTAAAGGGCAAACTTATAAAGCTTAGGCAAAACCTTATTAAAGGGGCAATCTGAGTGAAGCTCGTAAAAATTAACTTTTTATTAAAAGGGCAGGCTGAGTGAAGCTCGAAATCATTATTTCCCTTATCAATGGGGCAAGTTAAGTGAAGTTTGAACATATTACGAACCCTTTACCAAAGGAGTAAGAACAATTACTTCCCTTATTAAAGAGTCGAGACATCAATGGTAAAATAGATCTAAATACAACTCTAAAAAATAAAAATAAAATGATTCCAACACCAAAAGTTAGATCATAAAGGTACAACCCCTGGTTATCATAAATCAAGGCTTGGTCATCCGGAACCAAAGCCTAATCAACTAAGACTAAGGATTGATTGCCCAAAGTCTACAAAGGCTCTGTCATCCAAGACCAGTGCCTGATCACCCCAAGTCTAGTCATCAGAAACCAAGACCAGGGCCTAACCAACAAAAGTATGGTCATCAGATACCAGGACCAGGGCCTAACCTACAAAGGTCTGGTCATCCAAGATCAAGGCATGATTAAAAAAAAAAAAATCGCAACTCGGGAATAGTACTCGGGATATTGTTCACCTCGAGAATAATAACTCGGGGTGAAAAAAAAAAAAAAAAAAATCCCACATCGGGAACAATACCAGGAGTACCCGGTCTCAACTCGGGAACAGTACTCACCTCGAGAACAGTACCCGAGGTAAAAAAAAAAAAAAAATGTCCCCTCGGGAACAGTACCTGGGGGTACTGTTCACCTCGGGAATAGTAACTCGGGGTGAAAAAAAAACTTCACATCAGGAATAGTACCTGGAGGTATTGTTCACCTCGGGAATAGTAACCCGAAATAAAAATAAAAAATAAAAAATATATTTCCTTGTCCGTTCCGAACCAAGAAATAGGGGGCAACTGATGGGGAAAAAAGTAACCCTAGGGTTATTGTCATTCAATCGACTAAGGGGATAAGGTAAACTCCAATATCGCAACCAACTTCATCAACTCAACAGATCCCGTTACTGATGATAAGGGAGATCTCAACCATCGACATCGGCTGAACCAAATTGATTCTAATCGACAGCCATAAATAGGACATCGAGCCATTAGAGAAGGTATAAGAAAACATATATATATATATATATATATATATATATATATATATATCTCACTAGAATAAGGCCTTTTAAGAATTACTCTGTAGAGTACAGACTCACCATTAAGAGGAATAAAGGAAAAATAATGTTAGTGCAAAATTCAGAGAGAGAGAGAGAGAGAGAGAGATAAAAATAAAAATAATAATAAATAAATAATAATAATAATAATAAATAAATAAATAAATAACCATCTTGGAAACTATAGTAAAAGAAGTGTGGAAATGACAACAATAGCCTCCAAGGAAGATATTTTTTAAGATATTTTTTTTTAAAATAAAAAAGGGTATTGTTAAGAGATGAAAGCTGAAATACGGCCTCTATTGAAAGGCAGAATAGGGGAATTGTTAATATCACAATTCCATGCTTAATCAGTCCAATAAACTACTCCAGTTGAGCAACTAAGAAGAGAAAGCCCTCTAGGTGGAAGATTTTAGATTAACGCTTCAGCTATAGCCTATATATACTCTCAAAAAGCTATATATCATCCACTTCTATAGGTGATATACATACAGAATTATATAGCAAATTAACAACTGATCTCAAACTCATCTGAACAAACCAAAAAACTACATATACCATCCCAAGCAAAGACATAATTGAGTTAAAAATATGCTAGTAAGCGCACACATTGATAAATGATAATTTTTCCCTTAATTTCAGTGGTTAAGCAACTGACAAGACTCCTGTTACTTTGTGTGTGTGTTAGAGAGAGATTAGAGTTTGTCTCGTTCTTCACACTAGTGAAGCTACACGGCTATGAATGCACAACTTCTTAAAATGGAATAAAACCAAAAAGAAAATATACTATAACTGAAGAGACTACAATCGAGGAATAAAACAACTAGATTATGGGGCATTTACACTACTAGCTACCTGCTTCAAGAAATTATTACATGGTTCTGACCAATAACAAATTGTCACCTGAACAAAAAAAATTTAAATAAAGCCGACACATTTACTTGCATGACAGTTTGTTATTGGCTGGGACCATGTACTCCCATACCACCGTAATAATTTCTTGCTTCCTTCACTACATATTTCATGAGGGGATTAGCATTGGGAGATACTGAAAGTTGTAAAAGTCAGATACATTTGATTACTACAGGAGCATTTGCATCTAGTAGGTGTTTGACTACCTCTCTCATTGACGGTCTTTTGCTTCCCTCCTTTTCTGTACACCTTAAAGCCACCAAAAGCAGATCAATAACTTGTTCCATGACACTCGAATCTATAAATTCCTCCACAAGGCTTGGATCAGCAATCATCTCAATTTCTTCGCTTTCGCTCCAAACAGACTGAACCCACCCCACAATGTCTACTTCCTCCTTAAATGAAGGATCCAAGGCCTTCTTTCCGGTTATCAATTCCAACAAAACAACTCCAAAACTGTACACATCTGATTCCCTGCTCTGCGTAGTTGTAAATGCGTTCTCTGTCAAAACCATACTACAATCAATATTCAAAGTATTTAAATCAATATATTTGTGCAAGTAGACTATATACATGTATTACCTGGCGCAATATACCCAACTGTACCAGGAACTGTGCTGGAGGGTGCTGAAGAGGAAGACTGATCTAGAAGCTTTGCAATGCCGAAATCAGAGATATGAGGATCCATCTCAGAATCCAAAAGGATGTTCATTGGTTTGATATCTCGGTGCACTATAGCAGGACAACAGTCGTAATGGAGATATGCTAATCCTTCAGCAGTTCCAAGTGCTATCTTATACCGGACATTCCACTCCAAAGTTTGTGGTGGATTCATGTCATGGAGAACATCGTGAAGGCTTCCGTTTTGCATGTACTTATACAAGATCAAACCATAGTCCTTTCTCAACCAGAAATCTTCCAATCTGATAAGATTCCGGTGCCTGACCTTCCCAACTGTCTCAATTTCTCTGTTCATACTTGCTATTCCTCCTCTAATCCCTGCAAATACGAGTTTCTTTACCGCGTACACTCTTTCTGGACCCAATGAAGCCTTGTAAACAACTCCATGAGCTCCTCTTCCGATAATGTACCTCTCATTCAGGTTTTCAGTGGCTTCCATTATTTCGTTTAGAAGTGAAGTTGGACCCTCTTCAGCAGAGATCTCAATGTCATGTTTTGATCTTCTACGACAACAGAACATACAACCCAGTCCGAGGAGCACAACAACAGTTAACGATGATCCAAGAGCTATCATTGAAACAGCTAATTTATTGAGGCCGTCATGGTTGCTTGATTGAAGATCACAACGTCTGAAATTGCTATTCTGAGTGCAAGTCAAACCACCTTTTGGAAGACAATTGAGACAGAGACCAGGATTACCCTCAAATGAAGAGGGAGATGAATTCAGCAACTTCATCAGTTCTTCTGGTATTGGACCAGTGAAGACATTATGTGAAACATTGACCTGAATCAATGAATGGAGTCCACCAAGAACTGCTAAACTTCCATTCAGATTGTTGTTGGATATATTTAACTCTTCTAACATAACCAACTTTCCCAGTTCTGAGGGAACATTACCTGTCAACCCATTATTACTGAGATCCAGTGCTTTCAGGTTCTTAGCAGCTCCAATCGATGGAGGGACACTCCCACCTAATAAATTTCCACCTAGTTGTAGATTTGAAAGGACTTTAAACTCAAACAAGAAAGGTGGAATACCCCCAGTAAAACGATTCTCACTTAAACGCAGAATGAACAATTCTGTCAAGCTTCCCAAACTTGACGGAATTGAACCATTCAACAAATTATGACTCACATCAAGTTGCAATAATCTTTTACAACTTGCCAATTGAGATGGCAACGAACCTTCCAAATCATTGTGAGAAAGGTCTAAAGCCTGAAGATCCAAGTGATTTCCCAGCTCCTGGGGTAGAAGCCCTGAAAACTTATTCATTGCCAAGTTAATTGAGGTAATATTGGTAAGGTTTCTCAAACTTGAGGGAATGGCTCCAGTGAGGCTATTGTTGCTGAGGTCCATGAATAAAAGATCTGGATTGGCTGCAAATTCCGGAAGAACCCCCGTGAGGTTATTCTGTTTAAGGATCAGCCTTGTGAGTTTAAAACAACTTCCTACATCAGAAGGTATGCTACCTTCAAGAAAATTTTGACCCAAGATGAGCTTCCTCAATTGCTTATTGAAGCATAGATTTGGCGGGATTTCACCAGTGAACATGTTGTTAGTGAAGTCCACCTGTGTTAGACTACAATTAATTCCCAAACTTCGAGGTATGACTCCAGAAAACCGGTTGTTGAACAAAGAAATGTTTCTCAGTTGCTTTAGCTCAGTGATCTCGGGAGGCAGTTCCCCGGAAAGATTATTATCATACACAAGGATATTCTCGAGGTTTTGGATCTTCCAAATGCCAATCGGAATCTCACCTGTCAAATGATTCGAAAACAAAAAAAGGTCGCTCAACTTGCTTAGCATCCCTAATTCACTAGGGATTTCCCCTTCAAGTTGGTTTTCGTACATCTGCAAATCGCTTAAGGATTTGCACTTCCCAAGCTCAGGTGGTATTCTCCCGGACAAACGGTTCTCAGAGAGGTAAAGAGTCGTAAGCTTAGTAAGCAGGCCGAAAGAAGACGGGATAGGACCAGATAAACCACAACTCACAGCAGAAAGTAGTGCTAAGCTGCTACAATTGCCCAACCCTGGTGGAATACCTCCGGTAAAACGGTTGAAAGACAGAACCAAAGTATCGATTCGCTTACAACTACCCGAACCCAAAGGAATTCTACCCTCTAGAGTGTTATTACTGACATCTAAATACACAAGATTCTCAAGATTATTCAAACTATTGGGCAGAGGTCCAACTAATTGGTTGTCAGTCAAATAAAGCTCTTCCAGAGTAATACAATTTCCTATAGAGGAAGGAATGGCCCCTGATAACTGATTGCCATTCAACCACAAAGCCACTACCTCACTCATGTTACCAACACTTGATGGAATAGAACCATTAAGTTTGTTTGTGCTCAAGTAAACGGTCTCCAAATGTGGAATTTGAAACAATGATTCGGGTATTGAACCCGAAAGCAGATTATTATACAAGCTTATGTATCTTAGATTTTGCAAATTTCCTAGGGTTTCTGGTATTGGGCCAGTGAAGCTGTTGAGGGACAAATCCAAGAATTCAAGACAAGTACAATTTCCCAAATTTGGTGGAATCCCACCAGAGAAATCATTGAGGATAAGTTCAATCGACTTCAAGTGGCTCAAATGAGAGACTTCAGGTCCTAATTGACCTGAAATTTGGAAATTAGATAGGTTTAGTGCAACCACAAGGTGGGTTTGGTCACATTGGACTCCAACCCATGAACAAGGAGTGGAATCAGAAGCATTCCAGCTTGATTTGATGGAAGGAGGTATAAATGTCCAGTGCCTCACAAGTGACATCAGAGTTGTCCCATCAGAGCTCAAACCAGACACAGCATAGAGTGATAATAATACAGAGAAACAGAACAAAGTTGAGAAGCAATTCAAAGCAGTATTCATATTTATCTTCAACCTGAAGAGAGAGAAATGAAGAGCAGTGCAAGAAAATGGAAATTTATTGCAAGGAAAAGGTTCAGAGAGAGCTAATGAGACTTACCAAATATGGAAATTAGAAGAAAACGTAGTTCTTTGAATGCTCTTAACCCTTGAAGCTCACTGAGTAGGAAAAGATGAAATGGAGACGGAAAGAGGGTAACAATCTGGAGAGAGAGAGAGAGAGATGGGCCTGGGGGAAGGAGTTATGGAGAGAGAATCGAAAGACGGTGCATATTTATAATAGTACCAGATTACCGGTACAGATTGTATTCATCTGTTTATGAATTAAACCACATTTCAACGCGGTTTGACATGAGGTCCAAGTAGCCAGTTTACACCTGGTTTAGCATTTCTTCCATGGCACTTGTCTCCATGCATGTGCACGAGTGTTGTTAAACCCTAGAGTGCTTTACAAAACCGAATTAACTGATATTTTCTCTATTTTTTATTATTATTATTTTTTACAAATATTTTCTGCATCATTTAATAATTTAAATTTGTTAAGTTAATATATTTTAAAAGTCACGTTTATTCGAATTTTAACATGTGCTCTAATAGTGTGTTTTAGTTTTTCAAAAATATTAATATTTTAATATTTATTTTTTACTTTTTTCTCTTTTTTGGGGAAAATAAATAAATAAATAAACAAATTAAATTTATAACTTTTTCTTCTTTTTTTTTTTTTTTTGACTAGAAAAGAAATTTTGGCACTGTTTATGTCAACCAAAAGGTGTCTTAACCACTCTTAATTTCGTTCGGGAAAAAAAAAAATTAAAAAATTAAAAAATTGAATTTGTACTCTTTTTGACCAAAAAAGCCATTTTGGCACTGTTTGTATTAGTCAATTTACAGATATATACATTGGGTAAGATTATACGAAGAATGATCCTACAATAACAAATAAAGTTATGCAATTGTTATATGACATATACTACTATTTTACTACTTTATGGTTACACTAATGTTTTTTTGGCTCTAGATAAAAAAAAGTGTGTACCATGCTATATATATATATTTTTAAATAATAAATAAATAAATTGAACCGTTGAAATGTGTTAATATGATTTATAAGATCACACGGTTATGACTGTACATACTAGTGTGAACAAGTATGAAAAATGTGTTTGAAAAGGGTTGACGTTCAAAAAATGTGAACCCTGTTTGAAAAGTGTTGACAAAAGTCTGTCTTTTTAAATCATCCTATATATCTAATATTAAATAATTGAACATTTCTTGGGTCTGGACAATTTATACCACGAGCCTAGACGCGTTTCACCCACATAATTTTTTTTTAATCTCATGGGTGCAGACTTAATAAATTATGTTGGTATATGCTATTACACTAGGGATGTCAATTTTTACCGCCCCGTCGGGGCCTCGCCTCGTTCCGCCCCGTTAATAACGGATATGAGAACACGTATTATACTGTTGGGGCGGACATGGATACAAATTTTGTACCCGTCGAGGGTCACGGGGCGGGTAAGGGTTCAATATACATATTCTAGGGGCCCCGCCCCGCATATAACTATATTTAATATATATATATATATTAATAAGTTATTTTAGCGGCTTACCCAACCCATCTCTTACAATCCTAATTTGGGATGTAAACTTGGTATTAAATTTGCTTTTGTTTTGGTTATGGTGGAAGTTGGAGCTTAGAACTTCTTGTGATTTGGTTGTATTAAACTTTTATTTTTGTTTATTATGTTCTTTGAATTATGTTATGTGCATGTTATTTTTTTTATTTTTGTTAGAATACATAATTTTATTTATGTTGTGTCATTCCTAGGCTTTGCATATTTAAATAATAGGAGTTTAAGTTTCAAAAAGTGGGAGAAAAAAATTTGTTAGTGAGGCGGGCACGGGGGCACAGTATTTCCTAACGGGGCGGGGTTGGATATCAAAATTTAACCCGTCGCGGGTCTCGGGGCGGGCATGGACTTGACAAAAATTAAAAGGGGCGGGGCGGGATTTAGGGAAATCCGCTCCAAACCCGCCCCGTTGCCATCCCTATATTACACGTGTTTTTCCTTTGGCAAAGAATAGCTTAACATAAAAAAAAATAGGGTTAATTTCCTCTACACCCCTTGATGTTTGCCTATGTTCCATTTACACCGCCTCTATGTTTTAATATTCCATCTACTTCCCTTAAGGTTTTGATTTATGTAGCAAATTACCTCCTGCAGTTAAGCAACTGACGGTGTTAGCATGAACAAATTGGTACAAGGTCAATTTTGCCCTTCACAATGGCGAAATGACATTTTTAACCTCATTGACCATTGCATAGTTACAAATCTACCCTTATATTTTTTTCTTCTTATTTTTTATCTTCAAAAGCACTTCTACCAATGCATATATAGCTTCAGAGAACCCCAAAAAAAAAAAGCACTGTTTATCAGCTCTAAAAGGCGGAGACAGACCCTCCATCAATGTGAAAACGTGGGCAATGGAAAGTTTTAGAGATCAAACAAGTCCAACCAAAGATGAAGACAAGTACAGAGCTTCAGCGATCCATCGGGTAAGTGTAGGTACTGATCAGTTTCAGTGACGGTGACCATGGCTGAGCTTTGACTGAATTGTGCTTCAGGTATACAAATATAGAGATCGTATACAGAGCTTCATTTCAAAAATTGATCGACAACTTAAGGGGATTATCAAAACACAGAGGAGTGAACCATGAAAGCGTTTTTTTTTTTTTGGAATGATGAACCATGAAAGCTTGAGCATTGAAATCAGATAAGGAAAATCGAAGGTCTGAAGGTTAAAATTAGAAGGTTTGAAGGTCATTCTCAACTGAATTCCATATGTTATTATCAATTGGAACTCAAAATCCTCGAACCCGCAATCGCCAAAGCTCTAAATTCTTACTAGGGTGTTAGTCAATGATCTCCCAATTTCCATGCTGCAAGTGCAACCCTAGAACAAACCATTAGCGGCTGATATATATATATATATATATATATATATATATATATATATATATATATATATATATATATATATATATATTTCAACATAACATGCGTTACATGGTATGTGCAATTGATTAATGGACTGATACCATGAACGTTTAATGTACATATGTAAGTGAATAAGAACAACTAGTCCTTGAATATTGCTGAGCACATTAACAAATGGGTCTTCAAATATCCATGGACAAGAAGATTTGGTGGTCATAGGGGGTGGAGATGGTTGTGCTGGACCGCTGGTAGTTGTTGGGTGGCGATGGTATGAAATTAAAAACACTATTTTATTGAAAAACCTCTCACCAGTTTTGAATTAAAAACACTATGAAATTATTGAGTCACGGACTCGGGGCTTGCTGCTGATACATGCATGCATACATAAATATATATATAAGGGTCAGGGTGTATTTGTTTCAATATTTGGAGGAAGAATGAAGTAAATGTTGATGTGTATTATAGAGACATAAAGAGATGAAGATGAATTAGAGAGAGAAAAAAAAACGATGTGTTTGTTTGTAGAGAGAGAAATAGTTTGGAGAGAGAGAGAAATAGAGGGTGTTTAAGTCTTTTCATTTAAGTTATAAATTTTAATACATAATTCATGGGTAGAAAAGTAAAATCACACAATTCTGTTAGGAAATTAGAGCGTTATTATTGACAAGGGGTGTAGATGGAATTATAAAACGTAGAGGGGGTGTAAGTGAAATATAGGCAAACGTCAGGGGGTGTAGATGAAATTAACTCTAAAAAATAAATAAATAAAAAATGAAAATAAAAAAAAAAAAACAGCTTGTTCATTAATTTACTGAGCTTAGTTAACAGTGATGGTGAGATTATGTTAATTGCTAAATAAAAGTCAAGTTGATCATGTTAGACTATGATTGTTAAAATTTTAATACAATAATAGTGACATAACAACGGATAAAAAAACAGCTTTATCTATACAAATCCCCAGAAAACAAAAAAAAAACCGTCAAGTTGATCATGATAGACTCTGTGATTGCTAATATTATTTTAATACAATAATAGTAAAATAACAACTAATGTCAATTTGGACTCTGGTGGCAAGTGGCAAGTGCCGCGTGCCCCAGTGGCCGGTTTGCTTTCAAAATGGACTGGGTGTGATTCACACCTCTTTCCAACCAAACCCGAATTGAGGGGTGAGAACTAAGAATTTTCAAATCACTAATAACAAATAAATAAAAACGGAAGCAAAACCTAAATAACAAAAAGAACTGTAATAACAATTTAAAAGTTAAAAACAAGTTAGGTATAGTTTGATAACATAATTTTAGTGCGTAATACGTTTTGATCGCATACTAAAATCAGTCACTAAATGTTAAACGTTGAAAATTCAAATTAAAGTACATTTATTTTAAAGTACTACTTAAAATCTTCCAACACCTAAAAATTCTGATCTTAAAATTTTCACAACTTAATTTTCAATTTTATTATTGTTTAAAACTAATTAGTGAAAGGTAGTCCGAGAATTGATTTTGATACACACATTTGAAAATATTATCGGTAAATTAGTAGGTAACTTGTCATGCGTCACATGTGCATCTAAAATCCTCATATTCACATTGAAATTCCGTTCTCATCTCTGGATCCTCTGATGTAGCGACTTTTGGCGCAGTTGCTGTTTCAAGGTGCTTACATTTATTTTCGACACATTTCATTTACACACTAAACAAAATCTTCCAAAACAATTACATCTATTTTCACCACATTATTTCTGATTTTAACTGTGTTGAAACTTGAAAGTACATCGGAAAAAAAAATTAATAATAATAAAAATAAAAAATAAAAAGCTTACAGCAGATACAGCACCAAGAGACTCCACATATGAGGGTCCCTTTTTTCTATTTTTGCCATTGGACAAGATTACATCTTAACAAACTAATAAAGGGTTGATCCACGCACTTTGGACTTAATCTAGGCCTACAAAGTAGTAGAGCACTTAAAGTAGTAATATTTAGGTAGTTAATGAATCACAGCAGTCCAAAGAAATCAAATTGACAGTGACATCAATCCTTGATCATGTCCTCCAACTAGGACATTCCCAGATTTTATTATGGCATAAAATAGACTTCAATAAAGTGGCTAAACAAATAAACAAGACCTACAACCACCATTTGTAGTATAAAATCAAAGGTGTAAAAAGTATTCCACAGATGGGTTTCACACCACAAGAACATAGAAATGAGCCCCACTCTGACTCCGGGGACACCACGCTCAGTGGTTTCACACCAAACCATTGAGAGTTCATAAAGTTTTCTCTCACATCACACAAAATAAAAGAATAAAATATAATAAGAAGACTTCAAATTTTCCCACATGATGTAAGCATACTGAAAACTACCCATATGACATTTTCAACAACCAAATAATGCACAGTATCAAGACCAAAAGCAAATAAGGTGTTAAGAATCACTGAGTGATTCACTTGGAAAAATCGAACAAGTAAACTCTTACCTTCTTTTTCATTTTTTGCCCCGCTACACACTACTTGTTAGTGTTTCACCACACCATATAACATAGACAACCCAAGAGTTCCACAATGATGGACGGTACGGAATGCGTCAAGCTCCCCAATTCAAAGTCACCTCAGGTCTAGCCCCCAAAGAGCTGCCAACCGTAACATCTATAAAGTTGTTTGACTGCTACACCAGCCTAGTTAGAGTAAAATTACCTGAAACAAAAAGCAGATCTGTCCCTTGACCCTCCTCATACAATTCAAAGCCATATCGTTTTGTACAATAATCCTGCACGATGAGAGCAGCATATATTTTCCAAGAATCTTGATATTACTATGCTTTGAATAGCCTTGAATGTCAAAGTGTCATAATCAATGTGCTTAAAAGGCGGGATGATAGAGATTCAGCTTAATAACAATAAGCCTAAGAGAGATGTCGGAGATGGTTATGGTCATGGTAAATCATGACCCATGATATGAGTTCCTAAATTTTCCATGTCATGTCGAACTCGTGCCATGAGATGAAACTCCCGATCATTTTTCAGGTACCATGTTAGGAGATGTAATGTAATGTAATTAAGCCTTGATGAGTGGGGGAAAATAACAATACTCAACAACATGTCTATTTGAGAAGCACTCCTAACTTTGATGTACGTCATGGTCAAGATGAGGTGGAAATTGGAAAAACATACAAATACGAACAAAACTACAACCATGCACCAGTTACATAGTATGCAACAAAATTCTGCACCCTGACTAAAATATCCAAGCATTCTAAGATGCCGCATCAAATGTATGCCATGGATATATAGATCTATAACATGGTTCAATAATATGTTCATGAAACCACTGAGAGAATAATTAACATGCGAATAGATGCTAATGCGGATGCCTTGATGATGGAATGGATGCATGCAACAGCTGCATGATGCATCCTATCATGTAGTAGATTGTATTGTCAGTGCATAGAGATCAGAGTACATCCCCTTCCAGCTACTGGTATGACAGAGGTTGTGCAGCTCCATTCGCACCAAAAGCAGCACCCGCGTGGTTAGAATCCTTCCTTTTTCCAAAAGGGTTCTTCGAATATGTTTCTAGAGATTAAGAAAAAAACAAACATCCACGATAAAGGACAACGGTAACATAAAAACTCTGATTCAGAAAAATGTCTTCCATGGCACATTCTCTATTTTGAAATATACTTTATCTATTTCCTTTATGAAACTCTTTTTGTATCTATTTAACATTTCGTGAGATAATTGGAACTAAATTATGTTGAACCATAAATCAAAAACTTGCATGCATGCAATACCCGCCTCTTACAATCACACACACACACAACACCCTTACATATATAATTGTAGAGTTTATTGACACAATCATTGCATTTATAATTAAGAATTTTAACAATAGAATCAAAAGAGTACAGCCAAAGACCTAGGATGGCAAAAAGAGCTAATGCTTCTAACCAATTTAACAAGGTAATGCTTCTAACCAATTTAACAAGCAGCAGCAGCATATACCAGGGTCGTGTTCAACCTCCGGTCCTCCACATGCCCATAACAATTAAGATCCATCGAACAAAGCATAAAAATGAGTGATGGCACAAGAAGCTTAGTTCTGCTTCGAAACAGTAGTCCATCACAAATAGCAAAAGAGAGCATCAATCTAGGTGCTCGAACCCCAACAAGCACTATAGCCTATGAAATGACTTCCCTATGAAAGATGAGGAAACAACCACCAAAAATCTAATATACCTAAGTTACTGAAAGTTCAAATTATTTTGGGCCATACTTTAGCATAACGATGCTATTTTGGGCCATGCTAGGTAATGCCTTCTCAACAATTCAACACCACAAGACATGGGCCATGTGTCTACTTTCAGTACTTCAGACAGCATGCTAAAATTAAAAAAGAAACAGGCCATTACCCAAAATTCTAAGGTATAAAATTGGCAAAAACAAAAAAGACAAGGGAAATTAAGGTAAGCAAATAAACGAATTTAGTGACAAATGCTAGAAGGATATTGTATTCGCATTCCAATAGAACCAGAGCTTGGGATAACAGCACCCTGCAAACTATGGTGCACGTTGGTGGCACTGTTGACATCCTGCATAAGTAACAACAGGTCTTAAATAGATCTAATCCAGTAAAAATGGAGAAATATGCAGCATCACATAAGATGATTAGCATAAGAAAGCATCTAAGCAGAAAATAGAAGATAACTCACTTCAAACTCAATGAAGCAAACAGTGTGCCTTTCCTGTCTCAAAATCTTCATCTGCTTAAAACCAGGTTGACTGCATAAACATAAATAAAGTATAAATGAAGCAGAAGAATCCAGTTACTAGTTGCCATCTGTATAGTAATCAATTGAATATCAAACAGTTCCCAAACTAGCATAGGGTGTAAAATACATACGCACTGAAAAGACCCCTCAGTTCTTCCTCATTTACGTTCTCTCCAAGATTACCGATAAACAGAGTATTGCAAGGAGGGTTATCTTTAATATTCTGCAAAAATTAAATTAAAAAAGAACACACACACATTTTCAGGCTTTCCACCAAGTTCCTCAACATCAACATTTAAGGTTCAGAATATATTTCTCAAAAAGAAAAATGCAGCAAATACAAGGCAAACACCTACAATAATGAAACTAATGATAAAGACATCACTAGCCAATCAATCAGTGTTATCATCACAGTTTTTTTATCAGAAAATTGGCATTCTCTTGTGTCAAATTATCAATAATTTAATGCAAATTTAGTAGAATCTAATTTTCTTGTATCAAATTATTATCAGCTCACTAAATAATTCAGATCTTCAGCCAGATGACATGCAGCATTCACCACGGTGTGAAGTCAACCATTTAACTTGATCCAACAAGAAGAGACTCAAAAGCAACACGCTTATCCAAAAAAAAGAGACTCGAGCAACTGGCTTCAAACTTGCTACCGCATCAAAAATTTCCAAGAGGAACCGCTCATCCTATATGTATTGTTATTTTGCATATTTGATTGAAGTTTATTCTACCATACAATGTGAAAGTCCCAGGTGGTCGCATCGTGACAGTGTCAGCCAATTTTACCAACATGCCCAAGCTATATTCAAAGATGAATCATTGGGCCTGGGTAGTTTCTTTAATGCTAGTGAATGAACCCCTAGAGAGTATTAGACAAAAGTAAAATCATGTGTAAATTAGCTTAGCTCTTAATGAGACTAGCCACTCTTTATTTATATACAAAAGGAGTACAGTAGCCTTACAGCAACCGTTAACATAAGGAAAAATAAAAGAAACATAAAAATAAAGTCTGATTTCCAACACTCCCCCTCAAGCTGGAGCAAAGATATCAACCAAGCCCGACTTGGCTGTAGACGACTTTAGTAAGGCTGGTCTCACTAATTTTGTAAACATATCTGTAGAATGCTCTGGTGAAGGAATAAAAATGGAGCAATAATGCCTGACCGAACCTTCTCCCGAATGAAGTGAATATCAACCTCTATACGCTTTGACCCTTTATGAAGAATTGAACATGAAGCAAGCATAATCGCAAACTTAGTCACATAATAATTAAGATGAACCTTTGATAGGTATACCCAACTCAGAGAGAATAGATCAAAGCCAAAGGAGCTAACATGTACCCTGAGCCATAGCACGATACTGAGCCTTAGTTAAGGATCTAAAGACTACAGCCTGCTTCTTACTCTTCCGTGATATAAAATGATTACCATAGAAAGTACATAAGCCAGAAGTAGAACGTATATCTGTCTTACCTCAGACATAATCTGCATCGGTGAAGCATAAAACCCCTTATTGTTTTCTTGATGCATAGACTAAACCAAGGCCTCAACAAGATCTGAGATACCACAATATATGATAAACTGCACCCAAGTAAGATGTACGAGGAGCATGCATAAAGTGACTAACAACGTCACCGCAAACGAAGTTTGGCCTAGTATTGGTCAAATAGATGAGGCGACCTACTAGGCATTGATGCACAATCTGATCAGATTCCAACTCCCCAGACTCAACTGAAAGCTTAAGGTCTTGATCCAAAGGAGTGGAAGCTGGTCTCCACCCCATCATACCTGTATCCTCCTGAAGAAGATCCAAAGTGTATTTACTCTGAGAAAGAGATATCCATGGCGTGAGCGAGCAACCTCAATGCCAAGCATAGTTGTTAAAGGCTCAAGGCGCACTAAGGCGCCAAAGGCCTTTTAGAGCCTAATCGCAAGGCGCCAGCCCGATCGAAGTAAGACGCGTGTACATAATAATGCATATTTAAACATACATTATTATATATATTCATAATCAAGCAGTAATTGCAGTTAATGTAAGTAGTGAACCATAAATTTATGAATTTTGTCAAATATTTCTTAAAGCTAAACAGATTCTTTTAATTTAGTAGTCATTAAGTAAAATGGAAAATGATATGAACAAATGATTAAAAAATACAATGTGCGCCTTCTTTGAGCCTTAAGCCTACTAAAAAGCGTGAGCCCGAGGGCTTTATGTGAGCTTGATTGAAGGGGCCTGGTGTAACGGGCAGGTGTTTCGCGATCCGACCCAAAAGCTTAAGCTATTAGGTGGGGCTAACACCCAACCCATATATACCCATTCACTTTTCCATCCGGATTTTATGTGGGCCAAGCTCCCCCTTGTTACATTCTCCCCCCCACCCAAATTCGTAACGCTCTCATTACGGCCCGGGCCACCCTGCCTACCCGGGGTGCAGGCCCAGACGCCCTCCGGGCGAGATGCTTGGCGAGACACCGAATCAAGGACTGGGTGTGGGTCTGATACCAATTATAATGGGTGGGTGTTTCACGATCCGACCAAAAAGATTAAACTATTAGGTGGGGCTAACACCCACCCCATATAAACCCATTCACTTTTCCATCTGAATCCGATGTGGGACAAGCTCCCCCTTGTTACACCTGGCCTATAATAGGTTGAGGTGCTCTAGTTGAGCTTTGACGAGCCTGGGGCTTTTTTGTAGCCTAGGCGCGCCTTTAACAACTATGAATTGCCAAGGAAGTAACAAAGAGAACCCAAATCCTTCACATCAAAGAACCGACCAAGATCTCCTCTCACATGTGCAATACTAGCAGAATCATCCCCTATGATAATGAAGTCATTAACATATACTAATACAACAATAGACCGACATGTGTGATCAAAGTAACACCTCACAAAGTCCATAGAGAGAATAACATCACTAAATCTAAAAACCCAAGCCCGAGGTGACTGTTTTAGCCCATAGAGATATTTATAAACGTGACACCTTTCCTGCATACTCCCCCTCAGCCCGAAAACCCGATGGAGGATCCATGTAAATGGTCTCCAATAAATCACCACTAAGAAAGGCATTCTTGTCATCCCTCTGATGAAGAAGCGAAGAATGAGATGCAGCCATGGACACAAGAAGACAAATTGTTGTCAATTTAGCCACAGGAGTAAAGGTAGCACTGAAATCTTTCTCGAGAATCCAAGTAAATCGCTTGGCCACAAGACAAGCTTTGTATCAGTCAATAGTACCATCTGCTAAGTACTTCACAGTGAAGACCCACCTTTTCATCTTTAGGTAATGGAACAAGCTCCCATTTCCAATTTTGCTGCAAGGCATTCATACATGCATTCATGGAAGCAACCCACTTAAGGTCCTATTGAGCTTCAGATATTGTCCAAAGAATATGGACATATATGACCACCCCAAAAAGGTCTGATACGAATCTGAAAGACACTAATAAGAAACTTATTGGGCAATAGGATGATTAGTATTGCCAAAAAAACCATATCGAGAAAGAGGATTGCGAATTCGAGAAGGATAACGGTACTGGGGCTCAAAGTCATTAGGAACTATATGGGTGGAAGAATTACACGAGTCCGAAGAATATTCTGGCAAAGGAGGTTGAGGGCGAGGATGACGATAATAAACCTGCAAAGGGGGAGGAGAAGACTGTTGCCCTGATGATGGCTCAAAATAGGAACAAGCAAGTGGAAATTTTTCATTCTCTATAATACCAGAGATGAGGTCTTGCATTAAAGAGTGAGTGCCATAGAAAGGAACATCTTCAAGGAAAGTAAGATCAAGAGAGTGATAAAAGTGTTTGGATCCTGGACCATAACAACGATACCCTTTAGACATGATACTATGATATAATGCCCCAAAACATACAACGAATAGCGTTGTCATCTAGTTTAGAATGAGTAAGACTACGATTTTGGACAATACAAGTGCACCCAAAAACCCGAGTCGAGAGAAAGAACAAAGTACTATCGGACTAAAGTATTTGAAATAGAGCTTAACCAAAGTTAAGCCGACTAGGAGTACGATGGCTCAAATAAGTGGCAGTGAGAATAGCCATATGCCAAAAGGTTTTTCGTACCTGCATTCCATGTAAGAGACATCGAACCATAGCGATGATGTGACGATTTGAAAGTTCCACCATACCATTTGTTCAGGTGTATAAGAAAATGTAAGTTGTTGCAAGATGCCCTTTTGGTTTAGCTAAGAGCAAAACTCATTTGAGACACTCACGCCCATTATCTGATCGAATTTTTCTCAAAACAGTTTTATGTCGAGTTTTACTGTCTGCAACAATTGAGAGAATAAGGGACACACCTCAGATTTCTTTTTAAGTAAATAAATCCATCTACATCTAGACTAATCATCAATGAAAGTCACATAATAACGATGCCCGGAAAAAGCCGTAACAGCTGAGATTATTTGAAATCCTTTGAGAAAGGTACATTGTATCACAGATCATGGTTACAGACCAAAGACAGTCCTATTGTTGGTATACTATGTATTTTAGGGTTTTTGTCACTGCCAGGGGCATTCCAGTCATTTCACATGTGTGTGATCATTTTATATTTACCCTGGATGTTGCATTGCATTACAGAGCTCAGAAAATCAAGTTAATTGTGTATACACAGGCTGCAGCAACAGATTTCTGTATATATTGAAATGTGTCCACTTGAAGGGCATTATGGTCTTTTCAGTATGAAGAACATGGGGTTGACACGTATACAGTGGTTCTAGAGTGAAAGAATGATGGTTGTTATACATTTTTTAGGCGCTATGTCTGGTTATATATATATCACTGATACACATGTATGTGAGTTGTGAAAAGGTGGTGTACTAGAAGACAAAAATAGTGAGTTGTGCAGGGGTGTTGTAGCCTTTTCACTCAGGGAATGTCAGAATATTCCAACACCAATGATTGGTGGAATGTGCCACGTTTCTTTCCTCGTTAGGGTAGGACTACAACTCAGTGAACCACTATATATATGTTGTTATAACAGCAGCAGAAAAGAGAGCCCTTTTGTGTGCACCTTGAGAGTCCTTGTGAGCTACATTGTGAGTGTTCATCTCAAGAGACCAAATGAGAGAAGTTTTCTGAGGTTTAATTCAAAATTTGAGCAGCAAATTCAACTCAGAATTCTGTATTGAGAGATACAATCACTGAAGCTTTAAAGGATTACATTTGAAGCTATTTTTTCTGATGC